TCAGTGCATAGTATTGCTAAGAACCATGTGAATCTTCATCTCAATCTCAACAACACAGTATGCAATAGGAAACATATAATCATTGGCATCAATACCAACTACTATCAACCACTGTCTATTGTATGCTCCTTTCAAGTGGCAACCATCTAGTCCAACTACTTTCTTGCACCCTCCCAAAAATCCCCTCTAACATGCTGCAAGACAAATATGTAACCTCTGAAATCTAAGTTGACATGTTTCCTCATCTGCAGGGGCATTCAAAACAACTGTGGAACCAGGATTAGCCCTCCTTAGTTCCTCAAAATAATCTCATAGTCTACCATATTGTTCAATGTCATCACCATGTATCAATAGCATTGCCCTTTTCCTTGCTCTGTATAATTGATTCCTTATTACATCAACATGTAAATCTTGCCTAACCCTTTTTTATAAGCCTTTATAGGCCAACAAGGGTTGATTCTCAAGTCCTTTAGATACTTCAATGCAATCATCTTTGAGTTCACATTTTATTAGTTTAAGTCTTCCCACATGTGTGCTTGCTAATGTATGTCTTTATTTGGTATGTTTTCTCACCATGCACTCTAGAAGCATAAACAAGCCAACTGCAGCCCTCTTGACATTGTGCCCTTACCTTCTTTTTGTCATATTTTACCAACGTAACATTTCTTTGATTTTTAATTGCATGTTGTCTAATAGCAGCTTTGATCTCCTCAGATGTATTGAATAACATACCTAGCTTAAATTGTGGGTCTTCCTGATCTTTGTTTGCCCTAAATACTTCAAATTTTGTTTTTTTTTTCTTGCATCAGTCTCTCTATTAGATGAACTACAACAACTTATAATGTCCTCAGAATCAACCATATGAGTCACTCAAGTCTAAGCCATGCCTTATGTCTGTTGTTGTTGTTTTTTGCCTGTTAGTTTTCAAACTAGTCCATTCAGCTTCATGATCAACATAATTCTCATACAACATGGTATCGTACTCACTTTCATAATCACTGTCAACCAATTCTTCATATTAATTGTATTCAGATTCAAGTCAGTACTTATCTAAGTCTGATGCTACCCCATCCTCTATTTCATTGTCATCAATTGGGCATCACCATCAACAGGATGATTGCTTTTGCCTCTAGATGATCCAACCTACCTCTTCACTAATTTAATACCTCCCATATGTTTACAATATACTTGAGCTACCCTATTTTTATGCAATGATGTGACATATCTAATACCTATTCATCATTACTCATATGTGCTAGCCCTTTGTCCAAATCCAAAATAGGAAGTTTGTACTAAAATCCAATATATGGAGCATATCCAACACTATTAGCTATATCATCCATTTCAATGAGTGACATTAATTCACAATCACAGTCATCTATGTAATCTATTTTGCCCCCAACATAAGCTTTTTTTGGATTCTCTATAAATTCACCAATGTGGTGAACCTCCATTGAGAAAACCAAAGACTCATGGCCTATAACATGATTTTGTTGAAACATATGTAAGAAAAAACATAAAAATTGCCAAATGATTTCCAAAAACAAGTAAATATAAAATTCAATGAACATGTAAATTATAAAATCTAATATATAAAATTCATATTGCATAAACAAGTGGTTTCCAACAACCACATAAACTATAAAATATTTCAAAAAAAAAAAAATTGTTTTGCATAAACAAATATATTTGACAATATCAAGACCTTTTATATTCAGATGTACCCATGAAGCTGAAACCCAAACTTATAAAAATCATTACATGATGTAATGGGGAACATCGTATCATCCAGCCTGATTCCCTTTCTTCTTCCTAATGAAACAAACCATTTTTATACTATGATTCACAATCAACCAAGATGAAGACAAAGCTAAGCACTCTTGCATTTTGCCCTGATCAACTCTGGCCATTTTGCCCTAATCAATAGTTCTCACCATTGTTGTCATTGCAATGGAAGTGAAGAGTCTGAGAATCACAGTTTTTAAATGGCTAAGTAGGCTAAGTAGGTTGCAATGTCCAATTTGCTCCTCATGTGGATGACACATGGAGATGAAAACGATAAAAAGCAGACGACGTTTATGGTTGGGATCAAAATAAATCAAAGTGAATACTTTGAGGACCAATTTAATTCAATTGGAATGTTGGAGACCAAAATGAGACAAAATGAATAATTTGGGAAACACCAGTACAAATAATCCTTTACTTTTCTTCTCTTTTGTTTTTGTCCTTTAAGTATGCACTATTACTAGAAAAATACACAGAAGTGTGAACATAAAGTTGAACCGATTTTGTGCAGAGAGAGAGAGAAAGATTTGCAGTTACAAAGAGAGATCGTGGAGAAGGAGTCCTTGTGCAAGATCGAAGCTAGACTAGATCCGCTAACTATGTCGTTCGAGGATACCGAAAAAGTGGAGATTTAAAAATCACTAGACCGATTGAATTGAACTAATTTAGGGCCAAAAAAAAATAGAATTTTTGTTTTTATATCTTACTTTTCGTCTCAACTGTCGGGTTTGAAGATTTACTGACTAGCCGATTTTACGAATTTTTAACAGTACCGCAGACCGGTTTAGGCTCCGTTCACTAGTTCAACCATCTAATTCGGTTGGAATTTTTAATAATAGTGCTTAGGTGTGTTATAAAAAAAATAGTTAATTATAAAATACTCCCTTCAACTTTGAATAATTACAACCAGAGCAACTAAAGGCAATTTGAGGTTTAAAGTAAAAACATTAAATAGTATTAATTTTTTATTTTTTTATGTGAGAGGAAAACATAAAAATAATGTGCTAGTATAGTCGAGAAAAAAGTTTCACCGACGAGAGAGTTTAGTTTTAGGTTTTGTTTATATTTTTTGCTTTTCTTTTATTGGAGAGGGACATAGAGAATGAGTAGGGGTAAATATAAGTTGATTTTTTAGTAATTTTTTGTTTTTTTAACTTCTAATTTTTAGGTTTCTAATGTTATGGATTGAATCATATGCCTAAATTATTACAATAAAAATTTGAGTTTTTTGGAAGTTAGTACATAAAATTAGACTTATTGAATAAGTTCATAGTGAAAAATATTTGGTGAAAAAGTTTTCTGATAATATAGAAATACTTGAATACCTTTTTACTATATAGCAGTTGTCTAAAATGGTTTTGAAAAATCAAAACCCATAATAAGTTCTCTTCATATAAGTCGGTCTCTCACTCTCTCTTATTGATGTGGACTGGTTAGGAAAGACATCATTTAATGGTCAGTATGCATCATTTAAATGCTTAACGCGACTCATAAAATGTCTGAAAGATGCTCATTGAATACTCAACTTCTTGAACAGGGTAATCATTATGTTGTTTGAACCAAAGTGACTATTAGAATTCCCTGGGCATAGTAAATGCGCGACTTGAGGGAGATAATAGTTTATGACAAGTTATTTGTGTAGGTGTCCAACCTGCCAATTGGATATGACTCACGAAGTTCCATCTCATCATCTCTCAAAGTATAAATAGCTCAAAAGATTGAGTTTCAGGTATGCATGCATAACCCAACTTACACAGAATCACATTCCTCTCAGCTTGAACAAGGACGGACTTAGATATAAGAGAAGACAGACCTCCAACCCTCTTCTAACCTTGTTCCTAGGGATGACAGTGGACTAGAAAAAAGGGAGTTATTCACCCAAACTCGTTCCGTTTGAATTGAGGATGGACTTTACGTATTGGACGGTGGATGTATACGGGGATACCCTTATCCCTGTCTCATCCCAGCTGTACCCATTATATATATACTTCTAGTTACAAGCTTAAAGCCCTAATTTACTCTCCTCTTCCTCTATCAATCACCTGCCTCCATCTCTCTCTCTCTCTCTCTCTCTCTCTCTCTCACACACACACACACACACACACACTGTGAGACAGACACCCATCGCCCTCCTCCATCATTCTCGATGGTCGCTGCACTCAGCAACTCCTCACAGCCGCTTGCTTCCTTGTTGATCGCTGCACTCAGCAGCTTCTCACAACTGATTGTTTCCTCGCTGATTGCTGATCGCTACATCTCTCACTTGCTCACAGATCTTTGACTCAGTTCTTCGACACACAGATCTTCATTCTTCAATCAACAATCTGGTAGGTATGACCAATACCAATGTTTTCCTTTTCAAATGGGTTTGTGTGTAATATATTTTCAAATGTGGGTTTTTTTATATGATTTCTCTAATTTTTTTATTTGACATCTGAGAAGAAAAAGGCTCATCTGTATGTATTAGTTGGTGTTTTATTTTTTTTTAGTTGTAAATTCCTTGTTTAAATCTGTAGCCTGCGCTTCTGTAATGGTGTTTTGATATATATTGCTAACTTCGACTGAACACTGCTATGAGTAATTATACTTCACAACAAGCAGATTTTTATAAAACGTCATAGCTTCCTCTTTAACCTCATCCACTTAGTTTCCATCACTTTTTTCTAGACTATGATAATCTTACCTTGAAAAATCAATCCTGTGTATTAGTAGAGAGTATTGTGTTCTTCTTTGTCTTGTGTATTTAAAATATTAAATTTATTTAGAATTTTAGATTATATTGGCTTGAACTTAGGCTTGGGCTTTGGCGGGTACGAGGGCAGCAGGGATTAGAAATTTACCGTGAACGGGAATGAATATGAAAATTATAATCGTTAACGAGACTGAATCAGGGATGAACAAAATTTTTTTAAGCGGATACGGAGACGGAGATATTATGCATGATTCATCTTATAAATTCCTATACAAATCTCGCTTTATTATGGATTAAAATATAAGTGAGTGTAAAAAATATTTATTGTAGTTAAAATATAAGTGAGTGATTAAAAAGTTTATTATAATTAAAAAATAAAATATTTCATAAGATAATTTCACCAAAACAAATTGAAAAAAAACAAAGATGTGAGGAATGAATTGTAAATCGGCCCAAAAAACTCAAAAACCCAAAGCATTCCAAAAGCCACTGGATCTGGATCTGGATCCAACTGTGAGGGTTTGTTCGGCTCGACCTTTCTGGAATCTACTAGACTTTTCTCAACTCTCGAGCATCTCTACAAAGTACTACTGCTAATTCCTTCCTCCGAGTCTCCTCCACCTTTTCCCTTCTTGCTCTCCTGAGCTTCTCTCTGCTACTCCCTCTCTCTCTCTCTGCAGAAACCCCACATACAAACACGTATTTTCTAACCAAAAAAGGGCCAAAATAAACAGCGCAAGCACAATTCAATCGAAAATAATGTTTGGAGTAGTGTTCCCCAATCGTAGTTTCCCAATGGACATCTCCACCTTCACCCAAATCGACACCTTCCATTGGGTCCTCGACATGAACACCTTCGTCGGTAAGCTTTTCATTTTTCAAATTTAAATTTTGTGCGAGTATATGTGTGAGATATTGCTTGATGCTAACGTATTCAGGGGGTGGCGAACGATTCAATCCGGAAAATTTATATATGTTTGTGTGACCGCTTGCTGCTAACGTGCGCAGGGGAGGCGTACGATTCAATCCGCGAAGTCTGCATCTTCCTCCTCAACAACTTCACTCTACCGCCAGACAAAGCCCTAGCGGTCTACATCCAAGCCCCAGGCTCGCCTTTCCTCTTCTGCGGCGCCGTAACGCTCTCTCGCCCCTCCGCTGTCCTCTCTCTCCCGTGGCCGGACCCCGGCGGCCAAATGCAACTTACCGCCGACGCTGCCCCGCTCTCCGCCAAAATCGGTGTCTCCGTCGAGGACCTGGCGTCGCTGCCCTCCTTGGACGTCACGGCGGAGAAGAAAATTGAGAGATTGGCATTGAAGGTTGGGGAGAATTTGTTTAATTTCATGCAGTCGTTTTGTGGAGTGGATGGGAGTAAGTTGGTTGTGCCAATGGATATATTGGATAGGTGGTTTAAGAAGTTTCAGGAACGGGCCAAGCGTGATCCTGAGTATTTGAAGGGTTTCGCATTGTAGCTTTCAAGAGGTAGATATATATGATTATGTGTATTGACTAAAATTGTGATGAAAAGTTTTTGAATTTAGTTGATTTTGTTTGCTTAATTATGTGTTTCAGTGAGAAAAATTAAACTTTTTTCTTTCACTCTAATTTTGATACAATTTAATTTTGTTGTTACTTGCAATTTGTGTTTGCTGTGGGGTTTACTCTGGAAATGAGATGTATATTGACATTTGGAGGATGTGTTACCCTATGTATCTGGGCAATTGCTGAAATTTTATCTTTGCTGACTTTTAATTCTAATGGAGAGGGTAGGTAAAGAATTTGTGGCGTTGTTACCAAACGATTCATTTAATGTCTACTTTTCTCAATGCTCACTTTATTCTCTAAGCATATGGCATTATTACAAATATATGAGGCACATGAAGATGTATTTAGAAACTCGACATTGTCAATTTCCAAAATTTATTTGCTCATTATTTATGATGAGGCACTTGGTACCGGTGTTCTCCTATCACTTCAGAGGGCTTGAGGTTTGGTTTCTGGTACATTTTGCTACATAAAAGTTGCTATTGTTGATTTTTCTCAGAAAAAGTAGTGTTTTTTAATTTTTTTTTTGTTTCAAAAGATAAAAATGGAAAAAAAATTATGTTTATTAGTACTTTGTTCTGCATTCTTATTTTAGTTAAGCCACTCATGTTTAGAAATGATGGAAAAGTAAGAGAGATAGGCTTTCTATCCACGAAGGTAGGAAATCCTTTTTCTCTCTTTTTTGTTTGGTACGATGGATGAAAAATTTGCGGGATAAACTTTTCATTGTTTGATATTAGAAGAAAAAAGAAAGGAAAGGGAAAAATAAACCCCTTTAATTTACTACTATACCATTAAATAAAAAAATACTTTTTACCATGACATAAAAGTTCAAAGCCTCTAATTTGCTATATTATTGAATAAATATGTTCCAATAAATTAATATTTTTAATTTGACTCATAGAAAAATATAATTTCAGTTGGACAAGTGAAAAATATATATGTTTTGTAGTGATATAAACATGGAGGATATGTGCTGGAAAGTTTTAAAAAAAGGTACAGTTGCTTTACATAAATATATTGGTTTGTGTGCACACATTTCAAAAGGAGGGTATAACAGTAAATTAGTTGAGCCCCACTCAAAGACCCTATTCTTTTTTTTTTTTGTAAAACCACCATTTTATTTTATTTCTGGAAAATCATTTACAAAAAAATATAATTCTGTACATCCACAGAATTTATAAGGCCAACTAATGATATCAAAGCCCCTCTTCTCTCTCCAGCTTTCCGCCCTAAAATGGACAAATTGAGAATGGTGGGCGGAAGTGATGTTGTTTCCTTTCCACCACCTTTTCCTTTGAAACCAAACAATAGAAAAACTTTCCTTCCCTCCCATTTTCCACCCTCCACTTTCCATCCACACAAGTTTTCACCATGCCAAACACAGTGTAAGGAAGATGCATCTTCACTTCTGTATAATTGGGCAAGTGACAGATTTTCACTTGAAAGATAAGCGCTGTGTGCCTTTTTTTTCCCTTTAAAGTTGAAAGATTACATTTTGTAAGACATCCTCTTGATTTGCCATACTTTTATCTCCATTTTGTTTCTTTTTCGATTTTGCCAAGTTGGTAAAATAAAGATATAAGAATGGGAAGTGTGGTTGTGAGCTCTGTCTGAAAATTTTGAGAAAATTGGATCAAGTGTATAATGCATGACATCAGCTATGGTTAAGAGTTTTGCTGTCAATATTGGGTGCATGCTATCGCGGAAGTAGTTGTCTTAGTCTCTTTGAAATATGTTTATCCGCAATCACATAGTCAAATGAGTGTTTTAGGTCAACAAACAGCTGAGTACCATTTTCAACAGATTGAAAACGTACATAAGATCTGGAAAATGAGTTATATGTGCTCAGATATTGGGATAGGAGCAACATAATGTTTCCTTTGGCTTTTGGATTAGGCATGCATTGATGTCACAATGGGGGCTTGAAACTTGAACATTCTGTGAGAGTGGTGGTACAAGATACCACTCAGGCTAAGAGTTGAGTTCATAAATGGATAAAATTTGAGATGAGATTTGTACGAAGTAGAAGATTGAACCCATTCTTGGCAGGATGAATGACAGCTGGCTGAGATTGCCTGATAAAGTGAAAAGATAAATCTATTTTTATTTTATAGTGTGAGCTCAAGGACAGATCCGTAGGTATATACCAACGATTATTGCTCTAGGGTATAGAAGGCACGTAGTATGCAATCTTAGTGATGATCTGTGTAATGTCTTATGAACATCAATAGCTATTATTGTTGAATTTGTTGGAAAGGCTTGTATTCCAAATCTTGGATCATATTTGGTATGAAAAATGCATTGTACTGTTTCTGTTAAGCTGATGTGTATGGAAAGCACTCTCTGTTCTAGTCGATCCCAGTGAATTTTTGGACAAGAAGTTTCCTTTTCTTTTGTTGGTGTTATTTTCTTAATAAACTTTTTGGCCTGTAGAAAGTGAAATCTTGTGCCAGTGATGAGTACTTTGGATTCCAATCAGTTATTATTAAGCTTAGATGAAAAGCAATAGCAAAAAAAGAAAAATGAAAAAAAGGAAAGTAATAGCTAAAGAGCTGATGCTTCTGTTTGAGAAATCATATATTCTTGTGCCACTGAGGATAACTTTGGACTCCAATCAGGATTTATTTAACTTGGATGGTTCTAATTGCTAAAGAGGTGATGCTTCCATTTGAGACGTCATATGAGATATGTTGCATTTGACATGATTTCTAGCATGCCAATTTTTTCATGTCGTAATGGACCTAATGGTACATAATCACCAGTGGTTGACAGCTTTATTAACCTGGACTTAAATGAGCTAACCAGAGCTTTTTTCATTTGGTTGAACATAAACTTCTAGCTGGAAGTCATATCTTGAATTCTAATCAATAGTTTCCTTGCATGCCAATCATTTCATATTGTGATCAGCATATCTCAACTGGAGATTGATATCTTTATGAGCTTAAAGTTCAGTATAGTAGTAGCTTATCTTTCGCTTTGTTGGATATATACTCGGAGCCATTTTGCTATTCAAAAGACAATATTGTTTACCATCAAAAAAGAAAAAAAGAAAACTCGGAGGTGGGAATAGTTTTTTTATGTGTTATTCTAGCATGTCAACCAGTATGTGAGGTGATTAGTGTAGTATGATCTAGAGGTTGATAACTTCAGAAGCCTAGAATTAAAATTGTAGTAGGAGGTCTTTTTACTTGGTAGATTATGAATTCTGAGGTGGAACTTACATTTGTGATGTGCATATTTTGTGATAAATTGCATAAGACGGTGGATGTTGGTTGACTAGAACATTTGCAAATGATGGGAAGTATTGAAATTCCTGGCGGTGACAAGTCCAACTTCTTATTGTTTACTCATCGTATAAGCTTGTTCGGCATTGAAATTAATTTGAGCGGTGCCAAAGGTTGTAATCCTGGTGTTATGGTCTGAATGAGGTTGTTCACTGCATTTCTTTGAGGTTAATACATGTCTTTTTTCTTCATGTGAAGGGGCCATAAAGGGGAAACCAAAGAAGGGTGTGATAGTTTTGCTGAGAAGAAAATTTGGTTGACTCCATATCGATGAGAAATGTAACCTTTTTTCTTGAACTTAATGAGGAATGTAACCCTTTTCTTTTTGAACTTGATGAGAAATGGAACCCTCACTGGAGCTGAAGAGAGATAAATAATCAATTTATCTAAACTCTTAAGAGGTTGGGGTGCCAGGCTTTGTTGTATTGGGTTCTTGTTCTCTTTCGTGTTCATGTTCTTGTATGTTCTGCTTTCCTGGTTCAGTTGTCCATGGTTAAAGCCATAAGTTCATGAAGTTAAAATGTTATATTTTTGGATTAAATTAGGTTACTAACTGGGGAATGATCAACTTTTGTGATGAATAAATCAAGAAATAGCAACTGTACTGTGCAGACAAGGGGAGAATGGCTTAGATGACTCTATATTGTCCTGCAAACTGCAATGATATGGTTCAAAGAAATTGCGTCTCAATCGAAGCTTCGAGCATGTGCGAAAAGAAAACCCAAAACTGCACAGGCTGTACGTAGACAGTAGTCCCAAAGTGGAGTGTATATTGGAAGATTGAGGTGAAGGAGTGATTCAGTGATGAAACATTTACTCCTGTCCACAAGTGGTTGCAGACTTGCGGGTTCTAATCTCACCATCTTCCCCCTTCTAGAAAAAAAGAACAAAAAATATTGGAAGACACTGGGGATAATTTCTCTATGGAATGTGAGTCTAGCTGTGCAAGTGAAAATAGCAACAAGCATGAAGAGGAGGCATGGGGTTGCTAAACATGTGTTTCCTTGTATTGGTTCTTTTTTCTCATTGTTGATGTGGGCGAATAAGACATTATTTCCTTCATCGTCTTAGCATTGGAAAAAACTCCACTTGTCCTTTCTATGCATAATTTTTATTGTTCGAATTCTTAGGGATATCTCCTAGGAAACAATTGTCGTATGTTTTTCAATTAGAATAGAGCATTCTATTGTGTATAGATGTTCAAATGTGTGGAAACTTTTTTTTTTTTTTTTTTTATTGTTAACTTAAATCACGGTGACGACGGTTAAGTTTAAAGGAGTAGTCGGTATTTAAATTTACCATCAATTTAATTAATAAATTAAATTAAAATAATTTTACTCATGTTTTTTTCAAACTACTAACTTGATTTTTAGAAAAAAAAAAAATCTTTAAACAGTATAACGGTATACCTGTTCATTTTCCCGAAACTTCGTGCCGACACCTGAGGGCTGAGACATTTTATCAAACAACAGTTGATTTTTAAGATCACTAATATTTTAGTTTTATGTGGGATCAATCATACACGTGTTACCAGATTGCAGAAAATGAGTAAAAAATGAACGGTCGGGATGAATTCAGATGCCAGATTAATCGTCCCCGTCCTCAATCTGTCGATATTAATTTGAATCACACAATTCAACGTATTCATCATTCTCACACTTCAAGACTCTAATGGCCGTGGGCCATTGACAGTGACGCCCTTTTCGCAACTACCAGTCATCTTTCTCCCCCTCCCGCCGCAGTCACGCATTCGATCAAGAGCCCCCCCCTCCCCCTCTCTCTCTCTCACATACACACGCGCACACACACACACACACACACACACACACGGACACACTTGCAGTCCAAAAGAGAGAAGTGGTATGGAGTCCGAGACCTCCAACGGCGTCGTGATCGAGAACGGTGAAGACGCATATTCGCACAAGACCAAGCAAAACTATATGGAAGAACAAGATGTGACACTCTACAGCGTTTTCAACAGTTTCATATCATCGGCTTTCT